GTATATAAATACAAAGGTATGCTGCATCAATATATATATATATATATATATATATATATATATATATATGAATTAATGAGTAAATTTAGAATTCACACTAAATGGACGAAACACTAAAAAATCACTAGTAGCCAATGTACCACTAAGTTTTAACTTACATACTGAAATCTTACTTCCATAGATATATTTTTCTATTGTTCTTTAAAAGAAACTGCTTCAAATGAAATTTACAGATACTTTGGTTAGCACTGGGATGCTTAGTGCTCACACTATGTCAAGAACCACTAGTTATTTTATATTTAAAATGAAAAACTGGGGGTAGCACTTTATTTTAATGGTAAAATAATTAGTTCCAGATTATAATGTAAATCCTGTAGCAGTGAATAAATTATGACATCTTCATGGGTTTGAAATAAATTAATTATGATCAGTGTTATCACAGTGAATACTGAATGAATTAATAATGATAAAAGACCCAGAGTATTAACAGCAATGCAATAAAACATCAAGAGGAAGCAGGAAGTTTCTGGTTGCCTTGTCATCAACTATAGGCATGGTAACTCTGAATAGTATGTGTGCCCATCAGGGGCCAGGAAATAACTGGCAGGGAATAGAAAAAATGAAAGAGTATACTGGTGAGTATCTTTCCAGTAATATGCCAATACTGTTTTTACATCTGCAGCCTGGACTTAGTCTGACCCATATACATAAGCCATGAATAAATAAACACAAGTTTACAAACTAATAGTCTTCCCTTTTCATTACCAGACAATACATAACTGTTTCAGACTGTAGGGATACTATTCTAACATTGGCTGACCTATGTTATCAGATGTGTTGATATGTAGAATGGCTGTTTTGCATATAGTCCTTAAGTTTTTAGTCTCCTTAAAGGGAGAAATTGTACTTAACCCAACTTTTACATTATAATCATCACTGTGTTCTGCTAAAAGGCACATGATGCCAACAGACAGGGCTACTCTTAGGAACTGGGAGCTCCATTTTTGTTTCTCATTAATATTCTCATTAATAAATGTGGGGCTGAAAGAACCTTAAAATTAGATCATAAATCGGGAACCATCACTGCTTACCACAAAGATTTCTATTATTAGTGCATGTTAAAGTATCTCCTAATTACTGTTCCTCAATTCCTAAACAAATGCATAAGTAATGGGTTTGGGAAAAATATGTCTCTGCTGGACAATTTATAAAGGGATAAAGTCAGATGGGCTGTTAGAGTCTGCATGGAGAAGAAGAATGCCCACATATTGAGGCTGAGTGGAGTAGGGTCTCATTGTATGCCCTAGAAAGACATGCTCTATGGACAAGAAGCTTGGCTTGGGGACACCATGGCAAGGTGAAGAAAGAGTCTACCTGTGAGGGTAGGCAACAGTTACTCAAACCTCAAATGTTGGTTTGGGAGGGAGGTGGTAGGGAGACAGACTGCATCAAGAAGAGTATCTATGCTAGAGACTGAGGTACCCTCTGTGTCGAGAGGAGTTTGGTTACACACAGGAAAGAGAGTCCAATAAAGTAAGCATAAACAGGAAGAGAAGCCAGGTCTGGTGGTGCATTCCTGGTTTTTAGCTATTTAGGATGTGGACATGTGGACAAGAGGAATGCTGGGGGTTCAGGAGAGTAGAGTAACAGAGTACTACAGAAGGAAACTCAGGGTGCTGAATATGAAACAGTTTTCAAAATGCACTCCTGTGATGGGGATTGTACTGTGTATGTTTATCTTATTGACTGTTAAATAAAATACTGTTTGGCCAATGAAATGGCAAGTTAGGCAGGACTAGGAGTCAAAGAGTATTCTGGGAAATGTAGTAGAGAAGTGATGATTCAGACATGAATGGCCCCTTTTTCCCCTTCCTCCTCCAGCAGCAGATGTGATCCACCGGCAAGGAGGGATGCCAATAAGGCGTCCGATAAGATAAGTCTTATAACATATATGGATTTATGATAATTGAGACTGAGCTAACAGATGAGAATCCTAGTCATTGTCCAAGCAGCTTTGAACCTAATACAAGTTTCTATGTATTCATTTGGGCCCTAACTCAGGCGGGCGGCCGGTGCAAAGCTCACACGTGTCGGTGGGGCTTAGGCTGCTTTTGGCAGAAAGATTTATCGTAACACTCCTGGCTTTTACTACCTACACGGACTGACACAGAAATCAACACTGGTGTAAATGTGTCTTGGTGCACATATGTACACAGTCCCTAGCAGAAATCAACACTGGTATAAATGTGTCTTGGTGCACATATATACACAGTCCCTAGCTGTATCCATTAAGAGTAACAATATCCAGAAAGCACACCCAATGACAAGGGGAACGTAAAAGGAATAAGGGCTCCTTGAAGAAATGGGTGGTAAGGAGACAAGAGTATTTTCTTTAGTCAGAAAACAGGGACCATTGTGATCAGAATGTACAAATTTTATTTCTTTCGATGCTTTTAAACCCTACATTTATGAGCGCATGTGCACATCGTGACAGGGCTGTGGCTGTCAGGGGACAGGGTGTGCACATCCCTGATTAAAGTAGCCCATCATGAATTGGTTTTGATTAAAGCACTCCAAATTTGCCTCAGTAATAATATGGGAATCATATAATTCCTATGACATAAAGTAGAATCTTTTTTTTTAAAGATAAGATCTCACATAATAAATAGTTCAGGTTGACTTTGAGCACATTATTTAGCCCAAGTGCTGGGGTTACAAGACTGAGCCAAAATGCCTGGTAGGATCAACATTAATATTACAAGTAGTATTTTAAAGAAAATTTGACATGTGAAACGGACAAATCTTGTTACTCAGTGATATATTTTCTCAACAAAATCATCTTCTTCAGCATTATTCTAGTGCCAGTAATGAGGTAGAGATATTTTTTTGCCACTACGTGGCGACATAGAAGAATGGCATGAAAACAAGACTACTCCCTTCCTGTGAGTGGATTCTCAGCAGCGGTTTCCTCAAGCCATGTAGACTGGCACAGCTTGGTACTTCCCGCTTCGACAGCCAGGCCAGTTGGATGGAAGTGTTTTGCTCAGTGGCAGTGCGCAGCGTTATGTGACGGCTTGCACGCAGACGGCACCCTAACAGATGCGCACTTCTCTTTCCATGTAGGAGTAGGAATAAATATACTCCGCAGGAGAATGTCAAAGAACTGCAGCTGGAACGCTGCACAGTTCTTTTCCTACAGTTTCCTTTTTAAATGCCAAGTAGAGCCCCACAGGAATTCCCATCAGGGTTACAGGTTTTCCATCTCTGAGAAACACTGGATCACAATCTATATGTTTAATAAATTGCCCAGATGATTCTGGAGCACATTAACGCTCAGGAAGAACTAGTATATCCAATAAACGTTGACAAATTTTCACTGAGTTTTCTATAGGTTAACTAAAACTTTATTGCATTTTGTTTTTGCTTTTAATTTATAGTACGCATATGTTTGAGGAGGTCGGAGGACACCTTGTAGGGATCTTTCCACTATATGGATCCTGGGGCTCAAACTTGGCCCACAGGGCTTGGCAGCAGATGCTTTTATCCTCTCAGCAATCTGCCCACAGCCCACATTTACGTTTTATAGGATCCTCTTTTGCCTGTGACCTTCCTAACCAAGCTTTTGTCCAGTTCTAGTTCTCTAATCCAATCAGGAAGGAGTTGGCTGCCCCCAGAACATCCATGTCCTCATTGCACCAGTGGATATACCTTCCTGGGTAGTTCTTAAACGCACAAGATTTACAGCTGACTGTGATCCCTCATGATTTGTTTCCTCCAACAGCCTGCATAGCACGTCCTGGCACTATGAATGCCAGCTAGCAGCAAAGAAACCGGAGGCAGCTCAGTTTTGACTTAAGAATCCATCCCATTTCCTCTTGAAATGACTCTGTTCCATAACAGGCTGTCATGAAGGATGGAAATGGTTTCAGTTTATATATTGATGGCATAAATAAATAAAAGCCTGTCATGTAACCCTAAGTGAATGTTAATTTTTGAATGCTAAATATAAGAATTCAGAAGTAGGAAAGACACTAGAGACAGAAATAAAGGTTAAAAAAAAGGGGGGGCAACACTGTGGTACTTCTAGCACAAGGAAGACTCATGCTATCTCACAAAAATGACGATACTGAACCATCACCCATGTTGGTTGTTAGAAGTCCAAGACGAAATTAAAAAAAAAAAAACAAAACAAAAAAAAAAAAAACTGTAGGCCTTGCAGGCCTTTCTCACACTGGCGTATTTTTCAACTGGTCTGTTAGGTCACTGTATTTTATCACGATGTAATATACTTTTTGTGGTTTCTTCTAAGTTAGAAAAACTGCTGGCCCGTTGCTTCCAGTTTAAAGGACACTTTTCATGGATGGGGTTGAGGGTAGAGGGTAGAGAACGATGCCTTGGCACTTGCCCATTCACTGGTACTAATTACCTTGTCACAGTGGTTTGGGAACATACACCTTAAGACAAATATGTGACAAAACAATTGAATTCCATGTCTGTGAGATAAGGGAAGCCAAAATTCCTTTTTGGATACTGACATTCCTCAACTCCTGGAACTTACTAGGGTAGCCTGGGCAACATCAATTAGGCCACACTAAACTTTTAGTATGGAAAATAGGTTTCACCAAACCAAATTGTTCCGTGATGATTTATAAGTACAAAAACAAAAACACAGTATTTTGAGAAAGAAAGGCCTATGGAAGCCTTGAACTGTCTATGTAACCAAGGCTGGACTGGACTCAGAGTGATCCTCCTGCCTCAGTTTCCCCAGTGAGGGGTTACTTCACCTTGGGTTTCAGTTTATAATCTTATCTACGCTGGACTTCTCTATAGCGCATTTCAACCTATTAATGACCTCTCTGTGTACATATGTAATCCACCTGTGTAGTGCATACTTGCGATCAAGTTTGAGTCCCCGTCGGGGAGAACTGGGGGGCTACTTCCAGGATTAAATACTCTGTTAACAGTAACCGTCTTTTGCGACCCCTCTCCTCACTACTCACCGGTTCCTAAAGTAGTACTGAGTTTCTAGAAACGACGACCGAGCCTGGAGCTTGGCTAAAGTAGCCATGGCCTCAGGCCAGGGGTTTACTGAAGTTGTTACTAGGGGTCTCCATGGCAACTGGGCGGAACCACGGGCACTTCCGACTCACTCCCCTCCCCTTTCTCTGGGGCACAGTTTCAAGTAACCGGACCGAGAGTCCGGTTTTTTTTAAATGTGGGAAGCGAAGCAGCCGACCCGCTCCCTTCTCCTCCCGGAGTACCAGAGGCGCGGATGGGATCGACCCGCCCAGCGCAGGGGAGCGAATGGTCGCTTCCGGCTTCCGGTTTCCGCCTCCAGCCCGCTTCCGGAAGTGCTTCTCAAAATGCTCCAGTGCAGTGTGGAGGTGGCCGGGGCTGCGGGAGTTGGCGTCGGTCCTCGGGCCTGAGCCTCGAGGCCGCGCTCCCGGGTGTCGT